GTGAAGTCAGGTGTGTCGCTTCCAATTAACTGGATACTAGGTTTGTTGCGCTGCTGCATTATGTAATATGCAGTGATTTAATTGGGTAGTGCTCCTTTTAGGCAGGTCAAAGCTTGGCTTTGGGAAAGCATGGTTTTGTCAAAAAAGTATCCATATGTCGGCAACTACTGAATAGAAGATTCGAAATTTTGCATGAAAGTGGTCGGTTGTGCAAGGTGTAAAATGAGCTATGCAGTGCTCTGCGTATTTGTTAATCTGTGACAGAATGGCGCGAAAAAGACGGACATTGCCAGACAGATAATTGCGCCAAACGAAACAGTCCACACAGTTTTATAGAGTAATGCCCAGACTGATGTACATTGTAGCTACACAGAGGCCACAACCAATGTATTGAAATCTTACCACCAGGGTACAGGACCCACTGTCTGTCGGGATATGCTACTGCAATTAAACAAAAACCACCCAGTCCGTTCATAATGAGGGGTAAATTGCCACCAAAACGCATTTTCAAGGTCCTTAGCGAACACCAAACTGGTTTTAGCTGGTTAGAATACCAGACGACCTCAGGGGAACCCACTGTAATCAGCAAAACATCGTTGTATGTTTCTCTAATGAATTGGGGACCCTGATCGTTTCTGAGTTGAACACTGAAACCTCGTGACTTTCTTTATTGAGGTCAGCTTTCAGCTGTACCGCTCAACCAGTCAAAACAGAGTTTACAGACATCCAGAAGAGGCTAACGACTAAGCGTGTGCCGCGTCCAAAGTGACTTAGGTCATTAACAGCGTCAGTAATTGGAGTGGATGCCACATTGGTGCCAAAACACCAATGATGGTCATCCACGAAAACCTGAACCAGATCAAATAAAGGAATAATCTGAGAACCACTTGACTATCATTTGATAGGGGGCACCTTAGGAACAATTTTAGGTTGCACGGTGAAATTCCCAGTACACACATAGCACTTTTAATAGCAGATTACTTACAGAACCAAGGGAATGAGCAGTTACCTTGGTAAACAAAATCGCCATATTTGAACCACATAGACGATATGTGGGTAGGCCATTACTCGCCGAATCAATAGCCTACATGTCCTACAACCAAAATGGACCAAATTGGGCAGGTTTTAACCAATGCCTGAAAAGTTATTCCAGATTGAACTCTAAAAACCTAATCCAAGGAATGCCTTCCCACTTGAGAGCGCTGGTAGCAAACAGAAGAGGTCAAGCGTAACAGCGACCGTTACTGTGACTAGACACTTACATGGGGGGTTCTTTGTGAGGAGTGTAACTCTTTTACAGAAAATAATTTGGAAAATATGGAGATCCAAAATATCTCTTTTAATTGTTGTCGTATGACATAGAATAGGCAATGTGTTTTTGTTTGCCTCTCTGGCGAATTCCATTAATGAACTGATGTCACAGTGACATCAAAGAGATAATTAAAAGTAATTAAAACACGATTGTGATCCTTATTTTCATTTATCAGTCAGCAAAATAGGAAAAACTGATGAAAAATGATTTGGAAAAAATATTCCATATTAAATGTCAAGTCTGTATATACAATGTGTATAATGAAATACATTATCTATCCATATATTATTTCGGTTCTACGGTAATTTTGCTGTCGTGCGTTTGTTAAGGCATGCAATCATAGTCTTGCTTAGGGACCATTCCCACAGATATTTAGATCGATCTATCTCCCTGGGGAGTCTCACTAAATTGCTGTCAACTTGACCGGCTTAAATGTCTGTCACGCCTAGTAAAGCTGTTAGGGGGTAATTATCTTTACCCCCTAGCTAATTCGGTAGGCGTGACAAACATTTAAACCGGTTAGTTGACAGCAATTTAGTGAGACACCCCAGGGAGTTAGATCGATCCTGATGGATCGATCTAGGCATGGGAACCCAGTCTTAGGCTAGTAACTTCTATGGGCCATAATGCCTTACCTATCTTTTTTACCTCTGTGTTTTCACATCCATCTCTAAAGCTTCTATCACACTGTTCACCAACTGCATCTGTATTGCTTTGCTCGCCACGTGTTGTCTCTATTTTTTCAATTTGTTCCACAACTGACGCAATTTCGTTATTAAGGCGAGGAAAATCGGCTAAATCAAGTAGTTTTTCCAAATAAGAATATTCTCCGACTTTTATAAGCCCTTTGTCGTATAACATTTCTGATGCCTGGAGGAAGTTCTTCTCCTCCATAGCTCCTCTTCCAAAAACAAGGTTCAATTCTACTTTCATTTTCTGCCAGTGATCTTTTTGAATTTCATTATAAATTTTCACAAGAAGATTGCTGTGCAGACTGCGAGACTCCGGTGACACCGGCCTTGAAAATGCCATCTTGTAACTGATAAGAAAAACTTCACTGATTGTAGAATATACAAGACATCAGTAGCCTTCAATTTGCTGTCTGATTTCTGGTGTATTGTGGGTATATATGGCAGTTTGAATTGTTTTTATCTGATTTTGAGGGAAAATAATTGAACATGTCAGGTAAATAACAACAACACCAGAGGCACCATCAAAGATTTTACAAGTCTCAGAAAACTTGAAAACGTTTTTTCTAAATCGATCGTCCTAGTCACGTTTGTGAATTTATTGTTTCCATTATCTTTTTTTATAAAAATAAAACCATATAAATCAATATATGAAAATGTTCCATCTTATCTACAAAGAGCAAGTATAGTTTTTATGAAACATCTCCTTTTTGCCAAATATCCGTGATGATTGAAGTTCTGCTTCACTACACCTACGCAAGTCCTATTCTGTTTTTTCGTCTAATCAGGCAACACCCACTCTGAGTGACAGAGTGCACAGTAAAGCTACCTTGTTATCTTTTCATACCTTGTCATAGGATCGCTTTACTGATACGTTTTGCTGATACAGGTTATATATGAAATCAAGATCGAGCTGGCAATACTGAAATCTAGAACCTAGGGTACATGTAGCAACACCCGGAATGTAGCGATGTCAAATAAAGTGAAATCTAAATATAGCGATGACACGATGGCTTTTTTCACGATGGTAGACTACATGTAGTGTGACATTCTAAAATTGTTTTAAACATGATATGTGGAAAGGTTCCAACTACAAACTTGAGTAGTAACAAAAGGATAATTTAATTTAAAAAAGAAACTAAAATACTTAAAAACAACAAATTTCTTGGAGATTATTGGGGGGAGGACTACGCCAGCCCCGCTCCTGAGCGTTGCCCTGAATCCATTCTCTCTGTTTTCATAAAAGCCCAGCTCAGATAAGTGGGAATCTTACTTTTTCTCACCTTACTGTCGTCTCACTGGAACTCAAAATGCTTGTTAATTAACTGCCCAATTTGTCGTCAGCAGTGGAAAATCCGCCAGAACAATAACAGTCAAAATAGTTCCTTACGATAAGCTTCGATCTTAAAAGGACACACAATAAAAAGATGGATACTATAATCGTAGACCCAACCTATCCTCTACAAGAGCCACAGATTGATTTATGCGTAAAATGAAAGTCGTGGAAGTAGCCCTTCTAGCGCGTCTATCTTCTACGCACGTGAAGCGAGGACTGGTAAGAACATAGACGTAGAAAATAGCGCCTACGTGAATATAGCCATGGACATAATGAGAAAAGGACGAGAAACGCGCTATCTTCCTTCGAAGCTATTCGGGTAAACATTCGGGTAAACATTCGCCCACTGTCTCAGATAAGCTGTTTTGATAACTCCACGGGAGCCTGAACAATTTATCAAGGTAGCGCGCGCTGTGACTCATTGAAATTCTTTTGGTTCTATTGCATTATGTCCATGATATAGCTAAATGTTTGTTATCTGTACCTCTCTCAACTAAGAAATGAGGGGTGGAGGATGACCCCTTTTATCGTTATGCGGATTACATGTAAAATGCAAGGACAAAGGGTACAGTTTACTACTCGAAAGTGCTGTCTACGCCAAACTTTATGTAAATATGAAGAGAAAAAAAAAGAAACTTCAGTAAACCCTACCTAAAAATTAACCCTGACTTTTCAGTGTACGAACTAGAGTATTAGAGTATTAACTTACTGCCACAACTCGTTTCCGACTATCATCACGTGAGGATACTAGGTATATACTGACTGGTATCGTACTGACCTAAATTGCTTGACTTGCTGTAGGCCTACTCGATCGATACTGTCACCTTGATCGGTAAATGAAACTAAGAACCGCAAAAACAAAAAAATAAAAAAGGAGTCTTATACATAGTGCAAAAAAGGAAGAAAGTTTTAACACATTTGGTAAGTATTTTTCGGAGTTTAAGAAAATAAATGTTCCTTTCATGCTCGGAAGTCGACCCCTATTTTGTTCATAGATAGGCCTAATTTCCTCCAAAATGCTCGAATGGTGAAAATATTGCCATTTTGAGACTATCCTGTTGAAAATGATAATATAAAGTAGGCCTACATACTAGAATAGACCCTATTACCCCTTTTACTTTATAAATTTCATTTTTTTTTCAAATAACCAGACCAGTCTGCAACCACGTGCGCACGGGTATTTGGAGTCAGTTTTATTTATTTATTTATTTATTTATTTATTATTATTATTATTATTATTATTATTATTTTTACCGCGGAACGTTTGATCTACAGACTAGTTAGTCCGCGGTTGATCTGGTTGTGAATGGTGCCTTATTTGTCCAAGGCGTGGAGAAGTCTGTGGAGGCCATCCGCTAGCAGTGGCGACTGCCAGGAATAAGAATAACCCCTTTTAACATTTATAGCCGGGAAAATAGAAATAGGTCTGAGTCATGCTGATTCAATATTAATTTACACTGTAGGCCTCCTTTTAGCCTATGTTTTTTAATATTTAAAAATACAAATTTAAAAATTGTCGGTGCAAGCACTTCGACAGTGATTTTCATCTCAAATCTGTATAGATGTATAAATGGGCCTGTGAACAGATAGTCGGCGCTCGTTAACTAACTTGTCTGCCAAACTCAGCGTAAATCCTAAAAGTGACACAATGGTCTGGTTTAGTCGTTGAGTGCGTCTTGGAAATATGGCGGCGCCCATGCTTGCTCGGCTGCAACTATGGAGGAGGTACATGTACATATTTTGGTATTTTTGAATTTTTTGGTTACCTAGCTCAAACAAAGTTATGTGAATACCTTAAGCAACGGATGTTGGATTTACAATTATCAGATATTCAGTTGGAGTAGACGAGAAAACCAGTGAATCGACAATTTTCAACGTGGCTTTCAAGTTAGTATGTAAAAAGTACATGTACTACAATGTAAAGGAAACACATTTTTCTCCACGAACCACATATTTTTGTGAGGCTGAGTTGTAGCTTGCTGACCTATAAACACTGGGCAACTGCTACTTCATGACCACATATCTCCTGTGGCAGTTCCCCAGCAATGGTGGGTTCAAATTGCAGGTATCGAGTGGGTGGTTAAGAGGTGGGGTGGCTCTGGGGAGGGGAGGGGGCGGGGCAAGCGAATATTTTACGTTTACGACTGCTCCCATGTGCACAGACAGAAAAAAAACTGGAACAAAATCCATAAATGGGTCATATTATCATGTAGTTATATTCTTCATTTTTCTTTTCTAGCTGATAACAGCTAGACTGCATGCTTGACTTGGCAGGCACCAGACATGTGATATAGAAGATTAGAAGATAATGTGCGGTAGAGGAACATGTACATGGAGTTGTGATGGGGAACTATAAGTCAAGACCTACTGTGTCTTGTGGGGGTAATAAATTTGCTTTATTTTTATCAAAATACCCTTAACGCAAAGTTTCATGTGTTGATTAGCACTCTTGTTTTCAATCTCTGAAGTAAAATCTGGAGTATATATACATGTAGACATCTTTTTGTTTCAGATGAGTTAAAGAAGAAGATCAGTGAGAGTTATGCTGTGTTGAGATCCCGATTGATAGAAGACTTGAGGATACGAGATGCAGAATGGACTGAGTTACAGCAAGCCTGCAGGTGCTTGGAGCATGCTATATTTATATATATTTATTGATATCAGTCTAGCTTGTTAATTGATGGCAATGACAAATATTGTTCAAACCAGTGGCATCCTGTGTATTTATTAAGGCCTTTGGTATTCTTCTTCTTTGGCATTTTTGTCTTTGATAATAATTTGAAGATCAAAAGAAATTATTTTCAAATAATTTCTTTAAAGTAGCTTTATTACTGTACAGCTCATATATATTCAGTTCATCTCTTACTACATGTAACTTAATTAAACATTTTGTACTGTTTTAGCCGAGGTGATACCAGTAAGGTGAATGAACTCCTGAATGAAGACAATGTAGAGAAGGACAGCTCTTTGTCACTGTTACACATTGGCTGCATAGCCACAGGTAGAACTTTTAATTGCTATATGTAGTGTATTAAAACATGTCAACAAAAGTTTCACTGCAAACTGTATACATGCTTTGGGCCTACTGTGATAACTGCTAATGAATTCTGTTAATTATGCACCACTACAGTTATACACCAATAATATAAAACACAATGACATCCATCGTCCATAATAAAATGGATTTCACATAATTTCAAGGATTTGAACATAAGTATAAAACATAACATTTGATTGATCAGAAGATTGAAAGTTTTAATCAGGTAGATGTGTATTTATGATTATACAAGCATGTATTTTTACCCTTATTTTTCCAGGCTCTAATAAAGACCACATTAAATGTCTTCTTAAGAAGGGAAGCAAGCCCACTGCCCTCAGTAAGAATGGATACTCTCCTCTGCACCTTGCTTGTTACAGGGTGTGTATAAACTCTTTATTCATCAGTTATCTCCTAGGCAGCTCTTAGACTTAGATTTGAAAAAAGAATTGAAAAGTACAAATAAACAAACAGAGAACACACTGCATTTTGATATAAGTTTAATTTTGATAAAAGTTAAATTTATATTATGGTTTTTGTTAATAGTATGACCAAGATAAGAATTCAACACAATTCTCCCAGAGTGATGTTGACCTAATAAAATATCAGAGTACAATATATTTATCCTATTGTGTTTTCTCCCAGGGTGATGTTGACCTAATTCAGAGTTTGCTGGAGGGAGGAGCAGATCTTGCCCAGACTGGCTACAGTGATATTACAGCACTGCACATAGCAGTAATGTGTGGTCATGATGAAGTAAGTGGTACTGAATAATTATAATTTGGCAGAGTGAAGCCATATAAAGTTTAATCCTTTATTTTTCTAAAATGATATTTTCCTCATTTTCAGAGTTGCACCTCAGGTTTGCACTAATTTGTCAGACTTTCTAAATGATAAGTAATAATTGCTAATTCAAGCTATTTTAATGAAGGATTATTTTTCATGTGGTATTGTTTTTCATGTGATATTTATGGTCAAATTGCATTCAAAAAGAGCTAAAAGGCTTATCATTTATCGGTTGAAAATCGAGTAAGTTTAGCATAAATAGATAAATACACCTCTGTGTTGTGTTGTCTTGGTTATGTGGTAACATCTGGTGTTTTGTATCAGGTTGTCAAGTTGTTACTCAACCAAGGGGCAGATGTCAATGCAGCTGATGGTGTGAAGTTTTCACCACTTCATATAGCTTGTTACTTTGGGCATGAAAAGGTATGCAGTATTGCTTTATTGTTTTTTAAAAGTACCTTAATAATGGCATCTGTTAGCTTTTTATGTTGTCGCTAAAGTATGAAGACCACTGATGTATATATGTAAATTAATTTCAAAGAATTTGTACAATATTTGATAGAAGTGTAGTAGCCTTTACATTTTTTTCTTTTTAATTTTTTTAGGCAACCACATACTTTGTATGTCTGATTTGTAAAAATATATTCCAAACAGCAAATCAAAATAAAGTATTATGTAAAAACCTAACAATTCTACTCAGTCACCCAAGTATCAAATTCAGGTTGTAGAAGATCTAATCCAGCATGGGGCAGACATTAACATCAGTGGGGGAGTGGGAGACCGTCCTATCCACCTGGCCTGCAGTAAGGGCTACCTCAGGATTACACAGTTTCTGGTGGAGGGCAGACCAGGCCAAAAAGCTGATGGTAGGAGATATTGACACTTGGAGTCGTCCAAGTAAAATTATGGTCACAGTGGGGTGTACTTTGTTTAGCATGAAGATTTTGCCTTCTGTGACAATTCACATGGAATATGCCTGAAAGCAGTTTGTGAGAAAGCAATAAAACTATTAAAATACTTTTAATTTTTTAAGTTAGAGCTAGCTTCTTGTGATAGTGGGTTATCATATGTGACGCTTCTTATAAAATACCTGTACTTGCAGCACATAGGATGTTTATTGCAAATGGATAAAAATGATCCAACATTTTATAAAGGTTCTTGTTGCTGCATACCTATTTATTCTTGAAAAGAAAAAAACAACAAACAAGCAAACAAAAAAGAACAATGCATCTTTGAACTAAATGGAATAGATTTATTTTGTTCAAATTTTTTGTCACATTTACATTAATTCTGTTCGTTCCAGTAAATGTAATGGATGATGAGCAGCACCGTCCAGTCCATTTCTGCTGTAAATCTGGTCACCTAGCAATACTGCACTACTTACTTCAGCACCAGGCCGAACCCCATGGTAGTAGTATATACGGAGACACCCCGCTACATCTGTTAGTAGATGGCTTACACCCCATTTCCATAGATTAGATCGACCTACTTTGGATCGACCTAACTCCCTGGGGGTTCGCGCTGAATAGCTGTCAGCCGGGCGGACACGAAAGTTAATTGCCCCTTACGGCTTGTAGTGGGCAGGGGAACCCTTAAGGGGGATTATCTGACGGTAGTCTGGTGAGACTCCCCGCGGTGATAGATCGATCTAAAGTTGTGGGAATAGACCCTTAGACAGTGGTGTGATTTCTTCTTGGGCCTCATTCAGAACAGTGGACTAACAGTGGAGCCACTTGAATACTTCCCCATGGAGAATCTATTCAGTGTCCATTAGTGGATGAGACGACAAGCTTTTTAGTGGGTTGCCATATTTGAATCGTGGATTCGTTATTCCACTGTTCTGAGTGCAGCCTTAGAGTTGATGTCTTTCCCAAAACAACACTTTAGTGGTAGTATTCCCCACAGAAAGAAGTTAAAAGAAGCATACTAGCCTGTTGTTAGAAGGAATGTTTTTTTTTTCAATAACTATAAATGTATATAATATATGGAAAATTTGAAGTGTTGTAATGAATTATGTATTTGAAAGTCTGTCTCAAGAGTGAAACAGAGGTGAGATTGCATTAGACTGATATTCAGGGAAGGGGTAGTGTCACAACTTATCCAGTATGGTTTAATCAGAATCATGTACATTGACAGATTCTTTTGAAAAAAATAACACAAACAACACCATTTTTGATAGATTTAATTTGATTGTGTTTGTGCTTTATGAAGACTTTGGAGTTATCAGTTACCAATTTGTACTCCAGGGCTTGTTACAGCGGCAAGGTAGAGGTAGTGAAACATCTCATAAAGGAAACAGGGACAGAGAGTTTGACAATTGAAAACATATTCAGTGAAACACCCCTCCACAGGTGAGTGCTAACCTTGATGCCATTATTCAGATTTGTCTTCCTTTTTGTGTTTGAAACAGGTTTTCGAAAGTTACTGTTTTTTAAAGATTTGATAAAAATGGAGTGACAGATAACATATTTCCCTCCTTTCTTGCATTCTAATTACAATTACATTTTTGGGGGGGGGGGGGGGGGGGGGGGAAAAAAAAAAGGTTTTAGACAGATTAGTTTTTTTTTTTTTATTTGATAAATTTTTTCCAAATATTGGGGTTTGGAAACATTTGTCAAATTTTTAAAATTTTTTTTTTTTTTAAAAAATGAGAAAAAAAAAATTTTTTTTTTTTAAAAATTTTTTAATTTGTTAAAAAAAAAAGAAAAAAA